CCCCAATTTGTAATTTCTTTGTGAAGAGTAGGAATAAATGGTGGAACAGAACATTTTAGAGTATTGTGATTAAATTAGCTATGGCCAGAAGAAATCAAAAGAAAATTTAGGGACAAATGGTAGAGTGCCACCAGGGCTGATACTGCATTTGGGGTGCTCCATTCAAAATGGAACCTGCTTATTTTTATGTTGATATAATGATTACCTATTTTAAAAAATACCTTTCTTCATACCTCTACCATTTAGATTATAATCCTGTATTAAACTCAAAGTTCCAAGTGCTTTGTTTAAGCAAAGGTTGCAGCTAAATATTAAGACTTTCTTAAATCTGGTGGGTTTGAATTGAATTTTAGAGCTGGAAAGGAGCCTATGGCTCTGGAAAATTGAGTGACTTCTCCAGTGTTTTGCCAGAGACAGGTCTAGGGCTTTAGTTTTCTGATTCTCCAAAATAGTGCTTTTCCACCACACTACGTTGTAGAAAGACATTTTTTGAAAATTTGTGGTCCTAGAGCAGGGGTGGGCAAACTTTTTGACTCGAGGGCCACAATGGGTTCTTAAACTAGACCGGAGGGCCGGAACAAAAGCATGGATGGAGTGTTTGTGTGAACTAATATAAATTCAAAGTAAACATCATTACATAAAAGGGTACGGTCTTTTTTTTTTTTTAGTTTTATTCATTTCAAACGGGTCGGATCCGGCCCGCGGGCCGTAGTTTGCCCAGGGCTGTCCTAGAGCATTTGATCCCAGGATGAGTTTTACATTTGATGGCTAATTCCAGAACATTTAAACAATTTGATGATAGTATAAGGGAGGGATCAGAAACTGTGGCCTGTGGGCCTGATCCGGCCTGCCACCTGTGTTGGTATATAAAGTTTTATTGAGAACACAGTCACTCCCAAACATTCATATATTGCTTATGGCGCTACAATATCAGAATGAATAGTTGCAATAGAGATCATATGACCTGCAAAGCCTAAAATATTTATTATCTGGACCTTTATAGAAAAAGTTTGCTGACCTTTAGATAAGGTAAGGATGAAAAAACTGACACTATCAATTCGCAATAAATTGTGAATGGAGGTGCTTTCTGAAAAGACGAAAAGGTTAGCATATTATTGAGAGATATGAATGATCTGTCACAAAAGGCAAAAAAAAAAAAAGCCTAACCTGCATATAATAAAGTAGAACTAGATGCTTAGAGCATCTCTGAGTCCCTGGACTCAGAGATCTTAGTTGCCAGAATGAAGCCTATAACTTAAACAGAATCGACTCAAGATGGTACATGCTTCCGACCTTCATTTATGTTGTGCTAACCCGATGGAACCGGCACACTCACCAGATGTTCTTCTTGGCAGGTGGAGTGGATCCAACAGCAGGTGGTGAAAAAACGGACCAAGAGGGATTATGACTTCAGTCATGCCCAGTCTACTTACTTCAATGATCCCAAGTGGCCAAGCATGTGGTATATGGTAAGCTCGCCTGGCCTGCGCCTGTGTCCTCCAGTTTCGTGTTGTGCAGGGAGCCTCCACTGGGACTGGGAGGACAGAGAAACAGTGCAGGGACTTTTTACTGTTTCAAGAAGTCACCATTTGAGATTGGTGGATGGCCTGTGATGGTTTCTGGATCTTTTTTGAGCTTGACCTTTTGGTTGTAAGAAGAAAGGGAAGTGAGTTCTGATTCACAGAATTTCTGTTTGAGAGCTTACTCTGCTAGCTTTCCAAGATTGGGCTAGATAGAGGATAGAAAAATATACTAAGGTGCGGACATCCTTAAGACCTATCAATATCGTGTTTACTTCTGATATGCATTGATTCCACCTTTAAACCAGGCTCTTTAGAGGATACTTGGAAATCATTGAAATGACTGCTGATAAATAACAGATTCCTGACGTAAGTTGTCTAATATGTGCCTTCTCATTGTAGCTAATAGTTTTTAAAACTAGACCAGGAAAAAACTAGTTGAAAAGTAGTTGACTTATAGCTAGTTCTGTGAGTGAGGGAAACTTAACATATTGAGGAGAGTGATCTACCCATTCACTTGACATTGCCTCCTTTGAAAATATTCTTCTCTAAGAGATTAAGTTCAGGATCCCTGAGAAATTGATTAGAATGTTACTTTTTCTTAATTATGAAATCCATATGTCACCAAATTGCTGCGTAATCTGCAAAAGAACTTTAAATTTCCTCCCCTTTAAAGATCGTTATTGCTAATTTGGGGTAGTGTATGTTCCCCTAATCAACTTTATTTTTTGTAATCTCTGTCTCCGTTTCTCCATAAATCTGTAGCACTTTGCAAACTGCCTCCTGCTTTCCTGCCTCCTTGCCTTTCATCCCTTCCACCTGGAGTGCTCTTCCTGTCCTTCCTCACCTCCGGTCAGGATCCTCCCATCCTTCAGAGCCCCCACCGCAGGCTGACTGCTCTAACTCTTCTGAGTCCTCATGTGTCATTTTTTTTTCTTCCTCTGCTCTCCTGGGCCCTCTGTCCCTGCTTAGTGGCATCCTTCACGTGGGCCTTTGTTTTCTAGTTATTAATACTTTCTAAAAATCTCCTCTGTTACAGTGGAGAAGTCATTTTTACACCCTCTACGCACCCCGCCCCCCCGCCCCCCCAAAAAAACAAACTGAACCCAGCACCTTGCAGTGCTAGGAATTTGTGTTTATTTGGATATGGGTGAATGTGGTTGGTATTTCCCTTTCTTTAGTCTTACCCAGAAGTAAAAGGTTGTGGGCATATTTTAGACCCTAAACAGAATTTTACACAGAAAACTTTTTCTTATGTAAAGAGAGAAAAAAAGAATAGGAGCCGTGAAGCTAAGTTCAAAGGGAGGCGGGACTCTAAACTGCATTTAAGTAGAAATCACCAGAGGGGGCAGTGAGACACTTGATGGCCTATTAGCTCCAAGACTAAGGAAGAATGAACCACAGGGGAAGGCCTTACAGTGAGTATTGGCAGGAGCTAAGGAGCTTGGTCTGCACTGACCAAATGATAAGAATGTAATGGGATTAGGAGATAGGAGGAAGCACAGTCCCTCTCCTCCCCTGTTTATTGGGCCAGGGGGAGGGACACCCTACTTGCCTTCCTTTTCCTCCTGGAAGGAAGAGCCAAATTGCTGTCTGCACATGTCCCTGGATGGGGGAGTAAGCGCAGCTTTCCCGAGGCACCGCAGGCTGGGCTCTCGTAGGGTCCATGGCCAAGGCGTCTCCAGAGGTGCCAGTGCCTGCAGAGCGAAATCGCTTCACACCCGGGAACCACTGCTGTATCTGTAGAAATTCTCTTTCAACAGGAGGATAGGTTCAGGGAAGAGCTTTTGTTGGGCATTTAAAATGTTGGACATTTTTCAACACATTTGGAAAATAATTCAAATAGGTAACATTCATTGAGCACTTACTGTGAGCCCGTCAATGTGCTAAACACTTTATGAGAGGTTTTTTTTTTTAATGCAGTGCAAGCAAGCAGAAATGTGTGTTCATATTGGCCCTGTTATAAGAGTGGGGAATCGGGGGCTCACACCATTTAGGTAATTTGCTTAAGATCACCTGGCCTGGAAATGGTAGAGCAGAGCTGCCGAAGCAGGCAGGATGGTGGGAGTCCACAGGACTAACCTGACATCCTAGCCACACCCTTCTACTGTGTACAAGGCTGTCATAAGGAAGACAGGACTCCAGCCTTCCAGGAGCTTCTACCCATAGAGAAATGGCTGAAATACCAGGCAGGATGGTGTCTGCCATGGAGGGTGAACAGAGCATATTGGGGACATGCAAACTGTTTACGAGGCTTCTATTACATGGTTACTTTTCCCTTAATAAAAGGGCTGGGAAGTAGGCTACACACCTCATGTTTATCTGTCAGCAGTCTGATGGAAAAGGAGCCAGAACTTCAAATCTTCATGCCTGGAGTCCAGTCCCCATCGCTTCACTGACTGTGCCCATGACTGAGTCACTTCAACCCTTGTCAACTATGAGAGTATTGAGCGCTTAGGTGTGAGTTCGCTATTGCTGCATAACAAATCACAGAACTTAGATTTCAGGACAGTTATCGCACGGCTCTGTGGGCCAGCCGTTCCGACAGGGCCCCGGGGTGATGGCTTCTGTGTTCTCTGATGTTTGGGGCTTCAGCTGGAAGCTTCAAAGCTTGATTGGAGCGGGAGGGTCACTTCCAAGGTGGCCTGGTCTCCACGTGGCCATCACCAAAGAGCTGCTTGAGTGTCCACTTGACGTCGCCCTGGCTCCCGGAGAGCAAGTGATTGAAGCGGTTGTGTTGAAAGTGATGATGCCTTGAGTGATCTAATCTCAGAGGTCACAGACAGTTACTTCTGGAATTTATATTGGTCACATGTACTAACTCTGATTCAGTGAATGAGGGGGACTGCACCAAGGGTGTGTATACTAGGAGGCAGGGGTCTTAGGAAGCTGGTTGCCACAATTACATAAAATACTACATGAGAAGACATTAGCACAGTGCCTGGCACTAGAAAACCCTCCACAAATCATCATGGCTTTTATTATTATTCTCTGACTTCCTCATTACAATACATGCTATTTCCTTTTTATCTGTTCTTTAAATTGCTATGAGGCAAAGCAGGGTGGGGTCGCATATCCAGTGGGCATTCTTCAGAGCTCCCTGGGGACATAAGGGGGCAAGGTGCTGAGCTCCTCCTCCTACCTTTCTCTGAGCCCGGGGCCCTGCTGCAGAGGTTTTGAGGGCCGCTCCAGGAGTCTTCAAGGGTCCTCCCTTGAGCCCCTTAGCCTGGTCCTGGTCTGTCATTCTGTATTTATCACAGGAGAATGGAGATTAATGAATGGCATGAAGTGGGCCTGAGTGTCTCTTTTAATTACTATAAAAGCTTTGCCCCTCGCTCCTCCCCTTGGAGACTGGCGTGTGAAACCATTATGTCTAGCCTTCAGGCCTGGGTAATAGATTTAGGGAAATGTGCTTTTACGAGAGTTGGTTATGGAGGTGACGGCTATAATGGACTACTCCGCCCTCAAAGTTGGTGTTCAGGCTCCAGGTGTTGGGAGGGCCCAATAATAGAGCTCACTTCTCGTTGCATCCTCAAACTCATGGTCCAGCATGGTAGCCAGCACTGAAGAGTCAGGGAAGCATGGTTTGTGCTTTCTAAGGAGATCAGTAAAGCAGGAGAGGAGTATATGAGGCCAATGAAAGTTCACTGGGCAAACAAGCCCCCTAAAAGTTTTTTGAGATCATGTGTATACAACTAGCCCCAGCTCCTTTGACTTTGGGCTGTAATTTTTGCTTGCAGGTTTGCTTCTCCCGTTAAAATATCCTGAGTAGCTTTTATAACGTAATCTTGAGATTCTTGAGATTCTTTGATTTGCTATAGAGTAGGGCTCAGGCAGTGGGGTTTCTTCAGAACCCCCTGGGTAATTCTGATGCAGCCATGAATCCTGTGTAATTGAGTGCCCGAGTCTGTCATGTGGGCAATGCTCAATATATGCTCATCGAATAAGTAGATGAGTAAACTGGAATACAAGCAAGTCTTTGATCATCTTCATAGTTGAGAAAATGACACTCACATTTAATGAGTGCTTAGTATGTGTCAAGCATTTTGCCAAACTTTTACGTGTATTATCATATTGCCAGTGAACCAATGAGTTAGGAACAATCGTCTTCATTTTACAGTTGAGGAAATGAAAGCATACACAAAGTTAACTAACGTGGTCAAAGTCACAGCATTTAGCAGGGGCAGATCCTAGTATGTGAACCTAGTCACTGACCTCAAAGGCTAGACTTCCATCCACTTCTCAAAACCAGGCATGAGAATCATTTGGAAGGAGTACTGCCCACCCCTTTTTCGTCCTCTCAGCAGAGACCTGGGAATTTGCATTTTTAACAAGTTTCCAATTGATGGCTGATGCTAGCACCCAGGGTCCCATTTGAGACCTCACTGCACTACCATACATTAAACATAAGGTCCCTGTGAACACAGCTGGCTTCCCTCTTCCCATTATCAGCTGGGGGAAGAAGGGCTTTTAAATTTATGGGACATTTTAAAGCACACTTGGTCAATTTATCTTGTTTTTCTTTATCTTATACCTTCTACTTACAAAATTTTCTATCTGGGAAGCTGGCTGCTTTAATATGAGAAGATGTTATCACTTTGCACAGATTGAAAATAACCTTTGGCTTCTGTATTCTTTCAAGATGCTCCACAGACCAAGCATATCTGATAGTAAAGGTTGTGAAGATTCGGCCAAGTCTTTGGGAACTCCGTGTAATAGAGATGGTTTCAGTGGGCCATTTTGACCCTCCTAGAGAAAATTCAGTTTGCCTCCAGAGTCAGCAAGGTTAAATACAACGCCTCCTAGAGGGTCCAGGCATGCCGAACAAGAAAATTTAGGAGGTTAAATATTTTGAAAATTATTCTAAAATATTTCCAACATACAAGAAGTTGGAAGAATACCACAAATGCCTGTCCATCCACCCCCATGCAAGGGAACAGACCATTATC